GAACGCCTCAGGAGAGGGACAGCGTGCCGGTTGGATCCAACTTCCTCGACACTCCATCTCCTCCTCCTTCACTATAGACGACGCTTCTTCAACCAAACCGACTGGAAGACCAGTGAATGACAATGGTCCCAAGGGCGGCGGATAATCACTGTCGATCGGCAAGAGACTGTGAAGAGAGGGAGGAATCAAGATGAGGTGGAATCAACTGTCGAAGAGCGAGGGTGAATTTAAAACCACTTGCCTGTCAAAGAAGTTACGAATCTCCCAGAGCTGAAGAGCTTCCTCAGACACCCACTCCTCCGTCTTCTTAGCATCGCGCCTCGAGGAGGAGGAATCACCCTGATCCTCCACTCCTTGATCTTCGTTCGTTTTGACATCCTCCCCCGCCTCGTCTTCTTCCATCAGTCGATCCTCATTGTAGTTCGTACGACGCCGACGACGGTTCGAGCATGGAATGCCGACACGCCAGCCTTCGTCGGCAGCTGGATCGTAGTCGGGGTCAGCGAATCGTTTGCTTCCACGACCCGAGCGTCGAGAGGTAGATGCGTCGCTGTTGCCACCAAGAGAGGGGTGTGAGTTGCCACGTGCAATACGCTTTGAAGCGGCTGGCTTTTGAACTGAGGTCTCTACGAGGAAGTTGGCTCGTAGCCAGTACTTATCCTGTAAGGGTAGTCAGACAGAGTCCAGCAGTATTTCGCTGAAAGAGTGGCTCAAAATAGAAGGAGCGTTAAAATAAGCAGTGATTTTTATTTTAATTACTTTCCACGAGCCGACTTTTACGACGGTGGAGTGGAACGCCGCGATGGCCACTCGGATCCTCCGTGTGTCTAATTAACTATTAACTATTTTCAAATTTGTATGCCTTGAAACATCCTCTGCAAATTCACACTTAAAATTTAGTGAGGACGAAAACGAATGAACTTTAATGAACTCAAAATGACGTTTATGTCCTTTACCCGAGGTTTAGTAAGATATCACATTTTCAGATGCAAAAGAACGTATTAAATACTTAATTTATCTGGAAGTTAGATAGAGATCAAGATGATGTGACTTTGACTCCTTTGTAGAAATCTAATAATGCCTTAGAAGTGGGGGAAGATAGATCGTTTTGTCCGGGCATCTAGACATGGGCACCACATGCTCCGTGTACCCTACCGTCTTGATCAACAGTAATGTGGGCTGACCCACCTGCAACCGCTTGTAGCGCAACCACAATGACGTGGCCTTTTGAAGCTGTAAAACAAGTTCCAATTTGACGCGAAGGCACCTGTAAAATGCTAGTTGTCCGAGCTTCGTAAGCTCAATTTCGCGCTGCTCGTTCACCATCTCGGTCATCCTTCTGCCCAGCTAAATACATACACCATCCCTTAGTAGAGTTCATAATAATTTTTAGGCACCATAAGGAAACAGATTCATAAAGGACCTTCGTTACTTGAAAATTGAGGGTATCCCCAGCCTCAAACCAAAAAGATATATCAAAAATAATGCAGTGAAACCCGCAGTAACGTTATAAACCTTTGTGCATCAATCCGACTTCCAGTCCGATTACAGCCAACGCATTTCACAGTGCCAATCGTTTGATGACAAAGTATTTTTGCATCAAACATTTGACTACGAACCCCCTTCAATCTTTTGACACGAAGAGCCGAATCTGGGAAAACAAAGTACAAGGATCAACTTTGTTACCAATTTTTAGTTCCAAGTTCTACACAATGACTGGTGATGGAACAAAATCACAATTCAACGTATTGCAGTCGACTTCTAGGAATGGCTTACTAAGAACACGATATTTTCCTTTCAAACATTCCATTAGGATAAAGTTATCACGAAAAACGGTTGACATGGAGGATATGCCAGCTGAAGAAGTTCCTACCAAAATACATGGGATTTATGAATATCATCCAAATCCGTATGAAATACACCACCACCAATGAAATGTGAAGCTTCATTGTATAACCTCAGCTCCTGGATAGCGCATTATTACAATTCATTGGAAAGATTTCTCCATCTTAGGCGAAAGAATGAGCGCGGGGAGCACAAATGTAGACTTTCAAAACAAGAGCTATTTACTAAGATAATGTTTGTCTTCATTCTCCAGCAACCTAACAGCTACGTTCAACATATGTAACAAACAAAACTCATTAATGCATGAGAGGGGAATAAGAATAGCGCAAGCTCACCAATGGTTTGATAGCCACAACCCTTCGCAGTGCATAACCGCCACCATGACCTTCAGAGATGCTCTGTTTAAGGTAGTAGCGATCCGCCATTAGCGTGGCGTCTTCGCAAGCGGCTGCGGAGAGTATAATCTCATCCCACCGAAGAGAGTGCCAGAGGAGACGCAAATGTGCTGCTAGGGTGGCCATGGCCACACCGTAATGCGAGGGCGTGTTCAGGATGCCACAACTCGAGGCGGCTGGCTGAAGAAGGATTTGGCGCAAACGGAAACGCCACGCCTCCGCGAAACATGGTCGAGCAGTAGGGTAGGACCAAGGAATCTACGGGTGTTTATAAAAAAGAATAAACGCTACTGGTGATTGCATTCAAATACATGTTGCTAAAGAGGGCAGATACCTGTGTCGACACAGAAAATTTCATTATGTTAGGCGCCGAGTATTGCAGCTAGTAAGCAAATTGAGTAGGTTGTTTTACCGATAGACGAGTTGGGAGTGTTGGTTTACAGATGGCACTAGCAATGTTTGAGTAACGTGAAGCATAAGTCATTACATAGCAACCAACATTAGCGGAAATTATGCGCTTTGGAGAGATGGATATTGCAACTAATATAGAAGCAAAGTTGCAAACGATGTGGCCTGATAATTTTAGAGCAGGAGCTAAGAGCATTTCTGGGCGGTTTGATTCTGCTTAAAATTTCAAGTAAGCGCACTCCCGACGTGCAAATGATACTTAAGTATTGAATACAATGCAATCCTCGAACCATTTAAAAAAGCATTTCTACACCTAATTAGTAGAAAAGTGTGCCTACCGAAGCCAATCGTTTTTTCTCTGCCTCATAGCCTGGTACCTCCTTCCTACCAGCTGCAAGAATCAATGCTCGCAAGTTCACCCGACTCAAACGAAAGAGATTTGTCACGGGCACCGAGGTATCCTAAAACGACAGAAAAATCAAGACCTCAAATATTAGCAGAGGGAATTGAGGGAGGTGGGGAGTAAAATCTCGTCTGCCCACACCTTATCGACCTCAGGGTAAGTGGAGGAGACGCTAGACCCGAATAATTTATCAGGCGGCCAGGCGTAGGGATTAACCGAAGGCAGATGCTTGGGTAAAGTGAGAAATCGTCGGCCCTTCGATCGTTGGTTGGCTGCAGTTGCCGCCTTAGCAGCGCGATTTAGGCGCGCCAAAAGGGAGGTGGCATGGTTGCTGAGGGAGTAAGGATTAGCGGTGGAACGACCACACCGAGCCACCATAGCCTCCTTCTCTTCCACACGAGCACTCAGCTCTGCCAGCTGCGATTCCAGATGCCTTAGCTGTAGAAGACATCATTAACTATGGGCTGCTTGTCTACCTCCTTACGGGTAGCATTAAGCAAAACTGACCTCCTTGCGAAGATTGAAGAGTTCTAAGTCAACCTGATGTAATTTGGTGGCAGCTTCAGTGACAGCTTGGTCGAGACTCGGATCCAGTTGCATTGGCTGCGTTACCACTCGTACCATTCGTGGACGCAGGGACGGTGCCAAGTTAGACGAGCTAGCGAGAATCTGAAAATACAGGAATGATGATAGCCAATCCCGCTAAAAATTGCCACAATTCAAATAGAACTTAGAAACGGTTATCACGATTCCACTTTTATGGGGGGTAATTTACTTGCTCTTACCTAGGATCCAGACCTCTAAAAGAATTACTTTTGATAAAAATTGTTCTGCTAGCTAAAATTAAAACGTGCAAATTCGATGAATCTCGATTACCAAGTCAGATCGGAGTTTCGCTAACCGGTACGACCATCAGTAAGAATTACTCAATTTCTTGCCAATAGTCATTTATTTTACATGCAAGAGGCAGTAAAGTAGGGTTCCGTTTAGCATTTGTACCGAAAACTGTCGCCGCATCGACTCAGAGACAATTTCCCATTCGATTTTAGCAAGCTAATACTTGAGGACCAAACAATTTCATATGCACTGGGAACTAAGATAATAACTAGACGGAAACTTTTTTAGTCATGCTAGCAACATCATGGGATGACATCAGTTCCAAGTTCGACCAAAGCCTCAATGAATACAGGTTCAAATAATAAAGCCATACCTTCCTGTCTGATGCGACCCAGCCACAAGTAACACATTTATCGAATGCTATAGCTGAGATGAAGGATTAGTAACCAACTCCTCAAGGACGGTATTTCCAGTGTAGAAAATGAATCTAATTCTCACCGTTTGTGTGACCTGATAAGAACAAGGAGATCTAATTACGTGAAATTTCCATACAGATGAGAGAACAACTTACTGATAATCTTTGAAATGAAACAAAATTGCCCTACAGAAGTTATTTTCCTAGGGTAGAGCAAAACCGCCCCTTCAACTAGCACGAAAATGATCGAGGAGAATGCGTTGGCTTGAAGACAGCAAAGAACATTTTCGCTGTATTGCTTTATGAAATGATCCCATCGTCTCAAATGCGTAGAAGTTTGAAAATGATGGAACTAGTGCCAATCACCTTTCCAAAGATTGGGTTCCTTAAATTAGGCAGCCGACTCAAATACCACCTTTGGAAAAACCGGTTGGCTCATTGAGAAGTTGGGAAACAAGTGAAGGGAGAGAATGAAGTAATTTGCAGATGAATTTTAAGGGTTATGTAGGTTGCACAGAGCAAAATCATTAAACAGCTTCTCCGAAAAACAGTAAATTGGAATAGGTAAGAAGATATGAAGCGAATGACCGTATTAAAATATAAAATAAACGCTTTCATCACTTTACAAATGATCGCAACTCACAAGGAACAAATGTACCATCTAAAAAAGTTATCTGAGCAGAGTAGTGAATGCAGTATTAAGAAAACACTAAAAGCATAGGGGAAGGAAATTCACAAATTATAGATAAGTGTGCAAGAAAAAAACGATCCTTTCATCAATTCCCCGAAGATCATATTGTCCTAATCCATTTAAGTGAGCTCTCTTGACACAATATAGAACACGAAATCAACGAAAGGACGAGAATTACGCAACTTAAAGATGACGAAATTCGCACAAAATGTGAAAGACTATATACCAATCCTTATAATCAGTCAGTAAAGAAGCTTAGAGTTAAAATGCACCAATCCCCCTCCTTCCCATGCAAAAGACCAGAGAAACGAAATCCTGGGATGATGGACTGATGCACCAACATACAGGTCTACTTGCAGGTGCTAAGAGAGGTCTAAGGGGGGGTGCCCGAACCACTGGAGACGGTGCTATTGAGATGAGGGAAGGGGCACCGGTGGCGCTGACGGTGACTGGCTGACCAGCTCGAAGAGGTTGCGGCACTAGCGGCCGCGGCCTCAACCCTTGCACAGATGAAGACGATGGGGTGGTGGAGACCACCTGGACGAAGTTGAGCGGTGTTCGGGACGCCGACGTCACTACAGAAGCACCACCTCCAGAAGTCATGGAGGACACAGTGTTGGTGGTGGTTAGGGGTAGACTTGAGGGTGTAATTAGTCGATAGCCTGCAGGCAGAGTTGAGGCCTGTGTTACTATGACACCACCGCTTGAGGAGAGCTGTAGTACAGAGGTTACCGAAGATAAGGGGTTCTGTTTTCAATGGCAAGAAATTTAATGAAAGACACGAAACTTACTTGTATAAGAGACTTTTGTAGGGCAGGTTCTGTTGAAGCAGGAATTATTAGGTTTCCGGTTCCAGAGGCTAAAACGCGTCAACAAAGTAGCTATGAAATTTTAGAACCATTTGGAGCATAAAGCACTATGCTTTACAAAAGCATTTCAAAACGGGTTATGCACTTCATTCAGTGGCTGTACGAGTTCAGTTTATAGCGAATAGCATTTCGTGTTTTGAATCCACTTTACTGTACTGCTCACCCTTGGGCTGCAAAGGATAACCTGACTACGATAGCACCTCTTTACAGATAAATTGGGAATTTCGAGTATCATAGGTCAAGACTGTCGTGTGGTCTTCGGTCCTAAGTACAGGCAGGGGGTAAGGTTATGGAATGAATAATAATTAAAATGCAGCCAAAAAAAAAAACAAAGTACTTCATTGAGTTTTGTTAAAGGTAATAGAATGAAAAAGGGATGCCCATACTTAAATATTTACTTTTTGAGGAGATTTAAGATTTATATAAAGATCTCTGACACTTTAAAGCAATTGCCAAGGTTGTCATCTTTTTGAATAACCCTTCTGTAGATGAGTTAAATAAAGGATGAAAGAAAAAAGTGCGAATCTACAAATACAACTTATGCCTAGCTCAATTCAACTATCCTAAGAACCCGTAGTTTAGTTTCGAGGTTTGAGGAAGCGTCAAAGTCCTATGCCTTTGAGAGTAAAGGACGCGATTTCCGCAAATACCTTCTGATAAAATGTTTTTCAAAAAGTCCTAACATACTTAAAGACAGTCGACGATCTACTGCTAGATGTCGAAGGTGCTACATCTTGGTATGCTAATAGGACATAACTACTGACTCAATATCTGTATCACTTGGCTTATGATCATGCATGGCTCTCGTCTGATTCACATACAAACAGATTTCAAGTAGCCTGCTCATTGCAAGGTAAATGCTTCACCACAACCCTACTGCAACAAAAGCGACTAGTTTCGCTGATGCTACTTAGGTGAATATAAGTAACATATCCGACCTACCACCAGTAGGTGCTGAGGGTGGATCGACCGCCTGGATAATTTGGGTACCTGCGGGGGCTCCCGGTGGCGCACGCAACACCCTTACAAGGCGCACAGGTTGCCCACCAGGAGCGGTAGGGATAGGAGTTGGCACTACCGTCACTCCACTTCCACTATCGGCACCACTCCCGACGACTTTCGCCTCCACGGGAGACTCGCCGTTTGACGTCTACGATAGGGAGATGGTAATAACTCGCGGACAGGAGTAGAAATTAACCTTGAAAATAAATAGGAACGCCAACTTGCCGACTGATTTATCTGCACAATACCAGGTGCCTTCCCTTCAATAGCAAGAGCGAGCAAACTTTTCCCTGGTGAGGAAGAAGGAGGGATCAGTGCGCCCTTTCCAGACACAGTGGCGGACACTGTCCCCGTAGCAGCAGCCTGTTTCAACAAACGAGAGTATTTTATACCTAAGGAATAACATTATGCAACCGCTATCAGTTAAACAGATCAGCGAACGAACCCTGAGAGGAGACTTCTGGGCTAGCCCGTCCACTTTGCCCTCAGGATCGTTTTCAGTACCGTTCTCGTCCACACCGTAATCTTCCTCATCCTCGTCTCCCTCGTCCCCTTCCAGTATACCATCATCATCATCATCATCTCCAGCACCGTCAAGTTGGGGCACACTACCACCACCCCGAGCCCAGGATGAACCGTCTATCGCCTCGTCATCAGAACCGCATTGGCGAAGACTGAAGTCCTCGTCATCACGGTCGATGTCAACCCGACCCTCCTCCTCCTCCTCTTCATCTTCACCGAAATCCACAACAAAGTCAGGATCAACGCTCTTTGTCTTCTGGCGACGGGAGCTTCGACGAAGGACATTTGATCTACAAGAGAGAAAGAATATATAGGACAGAAGAGGGATTTATTCAAATTACCCTTGAAGAAAACTCACCCTGTGGTGCTACTGGCAGGTCGAGAAGAAGACGTAGCTGCGGATTCCTCGGACTCGGCACTTTCACCCGAATCGTAATTGTACTCCTCTCGCTGGAGACGTCGGGATGCCACTGATCGGTTGCGTCCGGGAGTCATTGAAGCGCGCGATTTGGCACGTCCGCCGCCTCCTCCACCGCCACCATCACGTAGAGAGGAAGTCGACGGGATGGTTCCTTGATAACAAGACTGGTTCAGACGTTGCTCACTAAGCTGTTTCATCTCCGTTATCGCTGTTTGACGTGATTTCACGGCTCTAGCATGTTCTGTGCGAGCAATTTGTGCCTCACTAGACAATTCGCTCAAGCGCGATTGAATATCGGCCACTCTGGCGGCCACGGTTTCGCGTTCCATTCGCAACTGATCTAAATCTCCACGGGCTACTTCGCTAGCAGCCTGATCACGTAACGCCGCGGCTTCTCGCATGGCTAAAAGACTGTCCAATCGAAAATGCGCCCTTCCACACTGATGCGTCTTGCTTGTGGGCAAAAGGGGAAGAGGTGATCTCGCAGGTGGTGGAAAGAAATCCCCGCCACCTATTCTGAGACACTGCAACAGATGCGACCGTAGTTCAGGGGTGTGTCTAGAGTAATGAATAAATAAAAGCACCGCCATATACCTGTGAGATGTTAATAACACCATCTGGTTGATTTCGGAGAGCTTCAGGAGGTATCGTGTAGACGCTGCGCGGAACGTTTTGACATAGCGGCACTCCTGTGATTGGATGCACTCTATAATCAAGGGCCGCATCCTCGGGTAGAGGTGGATGCAGATCCTAGAAGAATGAAAAAACACACCCGGAACTAATAATCTCTGAGTTAAAAGGTAGAGACACGCATTTGTACGCTCAACTCAGAAAAACATAAATAACGAATACTAAACTAATAAATCACAAATCAGCGCACAGTGTTGGCAAGGAGCTCAGGTTTAACTCCCCAACCCAGCCCAAGATGAGCCGGTCTGTCAATATTTGGTTTGGCTGACTGTAAAGTCACTGTCTTCAAATATTTTTGGTGGCGACGCGTGGCGCTAACCCACTGCCACCCATCGCCTCCCAGACGTCGGTACTCCTCTCCCCGCGTCTTCCACACAGTATGTCGAATCGGCTGAATAGTTTTGGTTCGCACCAGCGTTATTGGCGCTGCATTAACCGCCGCAGAGGAGCGCTCCAACGCACGTATTCGCTTCTCCTCCTCCCGTTGAGCAGACGTAAAGCGATCCAGTTGAAGCGCACCTATAGTAGCCACTAAAATTGTTAATCACCGCCACTTTCGCATACAAAATTTTACCATTTGAAAGAGGACTCACTTACCGATGGAGGAGGTCCAAGTCCGCTGAAAGGCGACAGGACGAATAGCAGCTTCCAGACGAGCCAGGAGGTCAGCAAGTTCATGAACAGACGTGGCCTTAAGAACAGCCGCGATCCAGTCCTTGCGAAGCAAACGCCAGACTGGACATAGAGCTGCAGCTGGAAGCTACCAAAATAACAGCGTCATTAGAGCAACTCAGGTGGACAATCAAATTCTTGCAATATCACTCACCTGTGCTTCCATGAAGCAGAGAGTAAGTTTCATGGTGTGCAGCCATCGCAGAGGCCCAACGGCATCGGCCCTTCTGTTCACTAAGTCTGCCTCAGCTGCACTGTCTAATGATTCCTCGCCAATGGCGCGTCGAATCATCTCGGCACTGGCTTCGGCGTCCAACCACCGCCAGGCTTCAAGAGCCGCGTCGGAGAGGCAGAACTTGTTGACCAGGAGGCGCCGCTTCTCGCGTTCGTCATGTTGTTGCGGACGGTTGAGGGCAATGTTCACCTCCGCTAACTCGGCTGTCTCCGCCGTAGGGTTGGGCACGAAGAGACCCTGGGAGAGAGTGTTTGTCCAGCTTCGCCAGCGTTTTGAGGGGGCAAGGTGGACAGAACTGGACAAAGGTGAATGCACTAACGCAGGCCGTGGCTCCTGCAAGGGTGAAGAGATAAAGACGATAGTTTCAGCTGCAAACTGTAATAGTATCATATTAATTCTATTTGAGATCTAAGAAAAGGCAAGCTAACGGGAAAATTGCTGCATCAGACGGCTATTAGGCTTACCTGTAGGCAACGTTGCAAGAAAAATACTCGGGCATATACAAGACGATTTCAAATTCCATAATCAAATTTTCCATACATACAAGTTTTATTCAAATAAAACATACATTTTCAAAACCACATTTGATTGAATTGCATCCAACTTATTGCAAAAAAAACACAAAAATGAAGCATTTCACTCAAAGGTGGAAGGGATGAACGAAAATACTCCTTTTGCATTTACGAATGAAAGATGTTAGTTAGAAGAAGGAGTAAAATAATTAATATTCATCTTTACACCGTCATAAAGGTCAACTTGATACAAGCGGAGCGAATAGTGATTAATGAACTGAAGTAGGAGGACGAAATCTAAACGTGGCACGCAAAGCAGAGCCATAGATTCAAGACTGACTACTCTGATGAAAAACCTGGCAATGTTACAGGCAGGTAAGTGTAATTCAGTCTCAGGTCACTCCAAAATAAGCTAAAGATCTTGGAAAAGCAATTGAGCTAGTGTAACTACTATTATCAATGTCAATTACTGGTCTAAAGACAAAAACCGAAGGTAAAAAATGAAGACAAAAACAAATTCTCAATTGGAGGACTCGAATCGAGGGCGCAAGCAGACGGCAAGGTATAGCTTATCCAGTGAACTTGTCGAAATTACGCAACGCTAGAACCCATTACATCATTACCTCTTCGAAGACCGTGAAAAAAGAGGAAGTAAAACTCACCGAAAGTCGTTGAACATGCACATCAGGTGGCAGTGGAAAGTTTTCAAAAAGACCATCCTGATTGTGTACCAGGACACCACCAGAGAGCTCCAGCACAAAGGCATTTTCCATGAGGGACGAGGCTGTCTCACCACCACTGCCGATATGATGCAACGACTGCGAGTTGGAGAAAAGAGCAGTTAACTGAGCGGCTGTCAGTGCCGAAGGGAGAGGCAGCACTGGCGGCCACTTTGTCAACTCCGTCGCATCGCCATCTTGCTCCTCTTTCTTCACATCGACTACGCTTTCAGTCGCTTCAGCTTTCTCTTCACCGCAGTCATTTTCATGTTTCGTTGATTCGGCTATTGGTAGACGCCAAAACGTGATAACCACCAATTGACTCAGTGTTTGCTCAAATCAAATAATCAGCTTACATTCTTTCGGCTCGGATTTCATGGCAGCCTGCTTAGATTTCTGCTCTTTCGCCTCCATCAGCGCAATTACGGTGTCAAGTTGAACGCAAAGCGCGGGTTCCCATTGGGTTGAGAGCCTCTGGCGAACAGAGGTGATGCATTCCAGTGAGGAATAGTAGTAGACGGGTGGTTCGTTGGCATAAGCAACGGAAGGATCGCAGGCGCCCTCCACACCACACTCAATCTTCTCGCCACCCTCTCCAGCCTCCTCTTCTTCATCATCGCCTGTGGGCTGCTCCGCCTCACGTCTCTCCCATTCTTCGTCCCGCACACCTTCCGATAAACCCGGTAGCTCGGGTTCACACTGGGCAAAATCCACTGGTTCGCTGGAGTAGGCGAAAAATAACGCTTACGTGGGTGGTTATGTGCCATCTCAAGCGTTAAAAACAACTACCAACTTACACAAACAGTCGGCCTTCCATGTACCAATAGACTCGGCCCGCTCTGTCATAGCCCAGCGGGGAAATCCGAGTCTCTCCACGTGCTTTCGGAACCTTCCTCTCCCCATACACCTCTTGCTCGGTTTCACAAAGAGGACAATGCCACGAGGAGTTTGGCACGGCCTCGAGGGGTGGTGTGAGACATGTGAGATGGAAAACAGCGGGACAAGTGTCGCAACAGAGTACCTCACCACTTTGTCTACATATACGGCAAAAGTCGTCGTGTGCGATGAATCCCTCGCGAAGTATGTCAGCGCGGACAGGACCAGTGGCAAGAAATAGGCCAACAAGACCTCGGAGTACGGCTAAACGCTGCGGCAGGTCAACAAAAGGGTATGAGAAATCCAAGGGTATGACACTATCCTCTGGATAGAAGAGAGCAGAGGTGACAACGGCATCAGCCCCGCCGCTGAACGTAACTGCCGCGATTGGACCCGACGAAGCGACGGTTGCGGTGTTACCGACGCGAGCAAGAGCTGCCAGAGCCGCAGATTCACCACGCTTCACACTACTGAGGTAGAGGGAAAGAAAATATGGCCAAGTATATCGATCTATGATGAAACTCAGAAGAGAGACCCCGTCCTTGCAGTCTGGGGGACAGAGATGTGTCCCATTGGCTTCGTCCTCGGTAATGAGAGCATTTAAAAGGGTTATGTGAACTGCTGCAATAAGATTTGAGTTTTCGTTGGCCAATAAAGCGGACAAAAAGTCTTCCAGCTGGAAGGGAGAGAGTCGCAACAAACGACCGTATCGTCGAAGGGTTTGATAGATTGATAGAGCGTCGAGAAGATGTTCTGGGGGACATATGAGGTCCTGAGAGGAGGGTGGAAGCGTCAGTGGTGGTGCCCGACGGCGCAGGACGACGGGACTGAATCGAGGAAAATCAGGTACTGATGTGGATTCTAAATTCGTCCCAACACCATTTCCAACCTCGTCAAAGTTGTCATTTTCCATGGCAGGTGGTGGTGGAAAATCAAGGACCTCCTCCTCCACGGCATAGTCGTTTAAAAGCGACTGTTCTCCATCACTTGTTTCGCTGGGTTTGGATGAAGACTAAAAACGCCATGGTTTTTTGGAAATCAATTGCATACTTACCTGAGCATCATCATTGGAATTTGCGTACAAATGGGCGAACGGTATTTGGGTACGCGGTCGCCCAGGTCTCCCGGTAGCTCTTGATCTACGTTCCTCACGTTTTAAACGCCGTTGGCGCTGAAGCTAAACTCAACAACGAATCGACATTTATCACCGAGCTATTCATAGTGTTAAAACAAACCAAAGAAAGGGTTGGTGGGAGTTGGAAACCCCTACAAAACGCACCTCCTGCTTCTTTTTAATCTCTTCAGCTTCCTCTCTCTCCTTTTCTTCTGCTAGACGCTGAAGGAAAGCATCATCATCGGATTCATCGTCCACAGGAACAACATAGTCGCCTTCTTCATCATCACTTTCAATCCATGGTCGTTTAGGATCAATTGGCCGCTTTCGCGGTCGACCTCTTCTAGATTTTTGTTGTTTTTGTCTTTTCTTTGGCTTGGGTTCCTCAAATTCTGATCTTCCACGCATGACTACAACGAAAATATTAAAAGAATGGAAAGTGACATCAACATAAACTTAGTAAAGGCAAAAATGGAACAAAATAGAAAATAAAATGCATCAACCTACCACCTTCTTGCTTAGCTTTAGACTGTCTATCAATTAGTCTCTGACACAAATTCCGATCAGCGTCTTTCTTTGTAGAAACGCTGCATCCGGGCTGCAAATCAACCCATTCTGAAGGATTAATGAATGTTAATCTTGGACGTTTCTTGGACCCCTGGCAATGACCACCTTCTCGGGGCGCGCTTATGCCTTCGGGGTGATTAACCGAATCACCCATTATTTCTGATTTTACTCAAGAAATATTATTTGTCAAGGTCACGAGCGATTGATAGAGCTGAAAGAATGGATGGGATATTCTTGCTTTAAAAAATTCAGTTGTGCAGTAAAACAAATGCTGGAGTGGCTAATTTAGCAAAAAGATGAAAAACAAAATTTTAACCATAAATTGCAATAATATTTTACTAAAGCAAGTAAAAACACGAAAAATGCTAAAAAAATCTAGTGTAACTAAGTATAAAAACTGGTTAAGACGACCCTTATAAATACCCATCTGCACAGGGTTTGCAGTTCATTTTCAAGTTGTTAGGTATGTGCACGACTAAATAACAGTATTTTAAAGAAGACCAGATTAGCAGTTATAAATTTTATGCAAGTTTTGTGAAGATTCCTACTTAAAGTCTGCACATACTAAATCCCATAACAATTGAATTTCTCTATTATTGCATGCCTTCGCTTAAAAACGAGCTAGTGGTCAGCTTTTAAGCTATATTGTCCACGATTTTTTCAAATATGACCGATGTGGTCCCTGCAAATTTTTACTCTATATTTAATGTCTCGTTTACGTAAATGTTTATTATTTTCGTGTAGGTGGCCGGAGGCTGGTGGGACGCGCGAGGGAACATGCCGCTGATCGAGCGCACTACTCGCAGTGGCTAAGGTCCCGCGTTATCAAACATGGAGTCTAAACATTCATCAAACTGCTGCGCAGTTCTGAGGGCAATGATCGCGATGGTTAAATCCCGCAATAGTATCAAATTTTACGAAATTCCGAGACTTTGACTTCTACTAGGTTTGCTTGGACAATCAAAGGAAATTTGGTTGTAGTTACTTTCGTGATATAAAACGGGCATGGACTCCTTCAAATAGATGTCACTCTTGCCTCTGTAGCGTCCTGAGTCTTCCCTGAAATTGTAAGAAGCCATGTTAGTGTGTCAGTAGGTATGTTGCTAACGCCGAAAATGGCCAAGAGGATATTGTGATGGCTCAAAGGCCAAGTCACTTTGTTCCGAAGAAACAGATGCCTGCGCAGTCAAAGACCGAATTAAATAAGCTACCGAAGCACTACATATGCTCTGGAACCCAATCATTAATTTCGAATTATAGTCTTTATAGACTTAGAAACGCCAATTTTCCTAACCCCTTTTATTTTATTTATTGGCTAGTAGGGAGTTAATCGGGCTGTGGCAGGAGTGATTTCTTGTCTGTAAATGACCAAACGTTTGCATGTCCTTCGACAAAAAAAGTCCCATATTATTATGTGGTCGCTTTCTCTTTTCGCCCGTGAAACATCATCATGATCACAAGCTTTATCACAAAACCGGTAGCCGCTAACACAGGCTTTCACCTTAAGCAAACCTGAATTCTAGTGCATTGGCACCGCGGAGATTTAGCTACATCTTTACGCACCTGTGTCTAATGCGGTTTCCAGCGATCACGAGAGCTCCCGCAGACGCGTCATTACATCCCTTGTTGCTTGTTTCATAATCGAAAACTAGAGATGGCCTGTTATTTGAATGATCTCAGAGTATAACAAATTCCAAAAAACAATATGGCCAATGCCGTAGCACCCCAAGTCCTCCCTAAAGGCGAAAAAAGGCAAGATCTCGGGCAGGATATGCACTATTGAAGTAGGGAAGGGTTTAGGAGCTCTTGGCCTGGCCCAAGAGCAGGTCGCGCGGGGAGGGGGGTACAATAGCAGAGCCCCTAAAACCGAGAGTTAGGCAAACGACTGACCTATTACACTGGGGAGCCTATGTATGTAACTACTTCAAATCACTTCATTCAAGGAGCTCGACAGTTTGCAAAGAAAACTGAGCTTCTTGTGACGCCACAATCTAGTGCTACAAAGTTGGATCTGAAAACTGGTATCCAATAGAGTCTCATAGTCGAGGCAGACTATTTGTTAAAAGTCCTAAAGCTATTATCAGTACGGATTAAAACCTTTCAAGTAAAATTTAGTGGGTCATAGTCAACATAAAATAATTAGGAATTTGCTTATGATGTTCATCAGATTACTCCTGAAGTTTGCCACTTTGAATACTCAAGATATTTCTTGTTAATAGGGACTTTGATCTACCTGAAACTAATCTCTGAATTACGAATATCGGCAGATAGATTTTTGAATCACAGTCTGGGATGGATGAGTGAATGGAAGGACGGACCGACGGACGCGCGGATGTGCGTGTCACTCAGCTGCATACACCCAAGCATACAACCAGGCACGCACCCAGCTCTAGCTAAGCACACACTTTGGCACTTTCAAATAAACATAACTACCATTTGCAAAGCTGCCGTGTATCCATTCCAAGCTCATAAAACCCACCACATCATGGCTTCTTGAAGTGTAGGAGTATACACAATCAGGGCCGAATGGAAGAAGCATCGGGTCTCTGCCTCCCCACCGATCGCACCAACGTCGCGGAGGCCACGGGCACCCGGCACGGATCTTGCATTGCCACGCATGGCGCCTGTAACAAATTTCTACGTCTCACCAAGTGTCCAAATCTCATCTCCAACCGCTGAATTGTTGTAGGACCTCAAGAAAGGCAAAGAGACGAAACTGACCCGCCTTGCTTCGTCCCAAGGTGTTGCAGAATCCGGAAATGTGCACAAGTGCAAAGTGGATATCTTTTTAATCGACGCTGGAAAGGAGTTATATAGCTATTGTGGTGGATAAAAAACGATATTTAATGCAGCATAATTTGAGGTGGATTACACAGGTATGTTTGTGATAAGACATGAAAGTTATAAATGACTGTCCTTTACGAGTCAGTGATTCTGAAGATGAATGAATGAAAAGCAGTTATTTACATACTTAAGGCTAAATGAGTAATTCAGTAGTACTGCGGAGCGATAGAAAAGTACGAATTCTAGTTCGTGAAATTCAGTCATGCAATCTCCATACGTTTTCCCACAATCCTCACAAATATTGTTTGATCAAAAGCTGGTACAATTTCCAGAATGATTCTCATAGTTTACTTTTGAGAACTGTATGGACTCGCAAATTACATGCCACTGTTTCCAAACACTAAAGCATTTGCCTATGTTAGCCCCTTGCCCGTACTCCCCACTTTCTCTCTACACCACTTTCACCTCTACTACTCAAATCGTCACATTTCGGTTGAAATAACCTGATAAAAAGTGATCCCAGTCCGTCCATTTCACAAGCCCAACCTACTCAAGCTGTCAAAGCTTCTCGTCTATCGCCTGTAGAGCGTTGTCCAGACGGTGCGGTACGCGGTAGCAAAACAGCATGCAAAAAATAAGTAATAAATAATAATTTGCAAAGTTCGTCAAGAAGCTCTCTATCATACTTGTATGAAAATATCAATGAGGTGACCACGCGATACCTCTTCCACTAGCTCGGTTAGAACCTAGATAAATAGTAATGGTTGAACAGCGCTGAAGTGAAAGAAAAGTGGCAAGAAGAAATAGACGTGAAATCCTGTTCTCATAAAACTTCTGTACTGGCATTAAATAACATGCTACATGCATTGAGGAGTAATAGAGTTCTATGGTAAGGCGCGTTAAAGAATGTGTACCCTAAACTGTCAAGGCTGCATCGCTACATCGCGAAGAAAAAGATCTATCTGTCCCTAGATAAAAAATGCTCCAAGGTTGTCTAAAAAGGCTCTACTACAATGAGTAGGGAAGTACTTCAGTTATTTGTGAATGAAAAAAATGTCCCTTTCAAACGTCGAATGCATTAGAGTAACGATCCAAAAACGTGATGTTGAACCTGTTCAACAAGGCAGCGAAGCTAATAAGCTCACTTAATAGAGATGAAGTACCTTTACTTCGATCCATCAAGGTTAATAAAATTAAAAACTTTATACAATAAACTTGCGAAATTGGATTTACGCCATGCAGACGCAACCATGCTACTTCACCTAGCCCATGCGCCTTTGATGATATGACAGCCAAGTTACACACAGACAAGGTCAATCTTTCAAAGCGATCTTCATTATGGAAGGATTAGAAGAGTGGCAATTCCACACCACGAGTGTTGAGACTTAGTCGTGGAAGACTGAATAGGACCATTGGTTGGTCGTACCCTGAAATAACCTCAAAAAAAATAAAAAGTAAGCGGTCTAGCTGCTCTTATCTCAGTATTGCTGGACACGTAAATGAACATTTCTGAACTTGGACTGCTTGAGTGTCATTGGCGTTTGGCAACAGCACTGATAGATTAGTCTGACGCATTTCTAGTACTCAGAGAGCGCTACTTCTTAAGTGTGCTATTCTGGTAAATTATGATTGAGCCTCCAAGCTCACAAACAAATTCGTTATTTTAAACCTTAGGCTGAATCACTTCGAAGTATCTCAGACGCCTAATAATACAAAATAATGCAGCACCTAGGTCACCTTTTCAGACGATGAGACGAGACTGCGGGACGAGTAGCACAACCGATGAAAACAACAAATGGAGAACTAGTTACGGAGAATTTAGAGTGATTTATGTCAGTTAAGACACCTCAAACACAAACAACCAATGATCACAGAAAAAGACAAACACTATTTATTTTGTAACAAAGAGAAAATACTAAAGAAATACTCCAGACGATCAAAACTTCCCATTCTCCTCATTGGAGCTCCGAAATTCACTAGCAGTCCTCTTTTGGTCTTCGATTCCCGTGTCTAAACTACAATGACTGTCCCAGCTTCCCTCCTCCAGTTGCTCTTCATCTTGCTTCTTCCTCCGTTTTCGTCGACGCACAACAAGTCTCACAATGAGAGCGATAAGGAGACCAATAGGAGTTGTGATAGCAATGATTATGGGCATAACAGCTCCTAAATCCCCCTGAGGCTGAGGAATCGCAGAGATGAGGATGAGAATACCCACTCCTACATTCTGCACGCCCGTTTCAATCGAGATTGCCACGACGACGGGCCAGGAGCGACGGCAGAGGAGGGCCATTAGGAAGCCGGCTACATATCCAATAACGGGGAGAGCGGCGCCAATGACAATGATGAGAGGATAGCGGCCCATAAGGCGAAAGATAGAGAAATTGGCGAAGGTGCCGAAACCAATTACATAGGTGAGGAAGATGCAGGACGTCGGTTGCACTCCTCGACGCAGTCGATCTGCCCAGGTAGGACGAAAGTGACGTATGAGGAGACCTGCCGTGACGGGGACGAAAAGATAGAGAAGATTCGCGGCGATTGGGCCGTAGGGCACCGCGCTGACGTCAATAGCGGTGAAAAAGCGAGCGAAGGCAAAAAGGAGCAGGGGCAGCATGCCTACAGCGAAAACACGCAGAAAAATCAGCTCCCTAAATGAAGCTCATCGGAGAAAAAGGGGAGCAAGCGGAAGGTCGTGAAAAATCCTGCAAGAGAAACAAGCAGCTAGACAAGTTTAGAAACTAAATTATGCGCCTGCCACGGTCCTTTTGGCATTTAAACACTACCCAGAAGGACCATTAAGAGATGAGGAATTTTATGTAGTTTTTGGCAACGACCTGACTAAATTGTAGACACATGTAGAATGCGGTTGTTAATAGTGGACACAACCTGAACTTCGCATTTGTTTTGAATCCTTATATGCATAACGACTGTTTTATAAACCTACTGTGATACTAGCTTCCCTGCTTTACAAATAGAGACTAAATCCGTTTTAAAGCCGCAGAACTTTCTTGCTTAATTCGTAGAGCATTTGGAAAAGGTATGGCGATAGAATTTTCATTACGCAGGTGGTTGAAAATGTGATTCTAGTGACGCAGTACTGGGACATGCATTACGGTCAAGAAGATCGGCCATTCTAAATGCTAAAGAACTGAATTCTACCATTGAATATCCTAAGGACGCCTGCAAGCCCAGAGGACACTCCTGATAGCCTTTCCAAAAGTTTCCATTTTCACGACTAATTTTCAAATATTCTAGAACATCGTGTTCCCGCTCACTCCTCCCTGGTTGGTCGATATCAAGTATAAATGCGCTTGAAAGGTGATAATCACTACAATGTCAAGGTCAGTCACTATAGCCACGCGTCACTAAAACATTCGAGTGACTTCGACCACTTTCACTGATCAACCACCAGCCACGTGTGTAGTCGTCGTAACCGCTGTGCCTAGGTCCCATTTACTGAGAGATGCGCCCCTTGGTAAGTGTGAGGGGGAGACAGTGACCCAACCGGGAAATGAAATTACCACGACAAAAAAAACGGAAGTGGCTAAAAGTAACTTATTCTCAGTCTTCTGGATTCAAAACGCCTCATCAAAGTTGATTTCCTAAGCTTAGTCTAATTGAGGGGTGCGTATAAAATGTAATGGTGATTGTTCCAACAGGTAATCTATCTTAAGGAGCTTTCTACAGCTACTCAATTATGACTAGAATGCATTCCCTTAGCTTATTTGGTTATCTCATAAACAAAACACCTTTGGTAGGAAGGTAACAAACAACTAGCACTACAAAAATAAGAAAAGACAACTTCAAAGGGACTACTAAACCACGCATCCAATCGTCCAACATGCCGACTATCCGCCCACCACTACGCTTATTCTATTACCTGACCAGCAGATTGTCGTATCAACACAACACCAAGTAGAGTCACTGTTGTTGTGCGGCACTAGGTCACAATAGCATTTCGAAAATTCTAGAATTCCTTCAATTATTAAAGGTCACGCAGATCGAAACATTGAAGATCCAAGTAGAATAGGCTACCACCTGACTCCTTTCGTGATCTTTTTGTAGATTACATCCCAGCCATAGGGGCTAATTTATGGCCGGACTCAAAAGTCTCTTCTTAAGACCAAGATTGAAATGGATAAAATCAACGGATAGACTGTTGGGCGACTCCTACTGAGATCTTTTTTGTTGGCTTACATTCGTTCTGGCCACGAGACAGAAATACATAAACGCAAAACTACCTATTCAAAAAAACACTTTAAAATCAAGGTGAAATGAACTTTAAAACTCGTTTCCAAAGCGCCACTTACAGATCCGAGTTCCTACTTTAAATACCTTACGTGCAAAAAGTGGATGAATAATCATTATCTCAACCAAAGGAACGATTAAATAGGTGAACCTAAAAGCAGATTGAATAAAACAGCGTTGATCAGGAAGTAAAAGACCCTAAATGTTTGGCTCGTATCCGAAAGTAAAAGTATCTCGCGTAACTAAAGCATAGAGCTTTAAATGCTTTGCGAGGGCATCAGCTTGACCTCCCAACGGGTTACTTATTAGCCTAGCATCATTGTTTATCATATGGCTACCCAAAAGTGCGCTATACGCCAAACGAAGTTATGGTGAACTAAACTTCCAAGATGAGCAACAACTTAGCTTACGGTTGTCGGTTCACAGTACGACTTTAAAAACTTCAAAATTCTTTCAGTTGTTTATAGCCTCATTATGCATACCTCCATTCGTTTATAGTAACACGCATTTAGATAAATACTACCAATTGTAAACTTTCATAGGCATTTGACATGCATAACGTCAAATGCCAGGCTAACGCTGTATGTAGATTTTGAATCAGCTGATCTCTCCGGAGTTTACCCTCAAATGGTTGCAAACTTCATCTGTATACCTTAGGTGACAATATACCAAACGCAGAAATCACAAAGGACAACCGTAACTGGAGCATTAATGAAGCAGTTCAAATTTTTTTAGCGCGGACGGCTTTTCGCACCAAAAATAATGTTTGTTAAACACCGTTCTGCTCTCCTTTTGTCGTATCATCTACAGACAGGACTCAGAAATTCATCTAATAGGCCACTTTTCTCGGCTTCAGCTCAAACAACGAAGCAGCACACTATTTGCATATGCTGATTCCTTCACATGCTTGCCTGTTTGCGCGGAATAAAGCGTTTGAGCATAGAGGCGCTTTTTTGCGCCGAAAGCGTTTCTTATCACAAATGTACTCATTGAAAGTAAATTCGTCATCTTAATTGACATTGCCTACAATGTTGTAAGACTGAAACTGATTACACAAAAGGGACTTCGCAGGAGTTGTAAAACAATCAAGTATTTGCATGCACCTAGTTCTATTTCCTCACTTTACCCACAAAACTGGACTATTTGTTCCTTCAAGCTGTTTATGTGAATGAAATTCCGTCTATAAAAATAATAAAGTGAGACTTGAGTGCCCTAAATAACCCCTAAACACCGTGAATCTTATAGTCAAACTTTCAACGATAATTCACTAAACCGCTTTAACTAAGTACAATCACGACGGCATTAAAATCCCCCTAGCTTGACTGATTTACTAAAATAGCAGAGCAGAATGCGAGGCTCGACAAGAGCGTCCCCTTAGGAATAACTTCGTAAGGCTTCGTAAACTGTGATTCATCTATTACGAGGTCACAAATATGCCTCAGTCAGGATAAGTGTGATGAAACTCAAACTACTTGTGGGAGTTTGACATCTAATTGAGTTGAAAAAAGTACTAAAAAAATGGCTCAATGTGTCTGCCTAGCACTCAATCACTTGCGGTGTCTCAACCTATCTAGGGCACAAGAAATTACGCAATAGTAAGGACATAGCTTGTTCACTTTCAGCCAAGGTAACAATCAACCAAATGCCACAAATTCCTGCCCTAGTAAACGAACAGCAGATCGGTGCTAAAAATGGAATTGAAACGAAAAAAAGTCCATCTCTATAAGGACAGGCACCTGATGACGTTTTGTAACCAATCTAATGGATATATGCTCAGGGATAATGGGGCTGTGATCCACACTTTTTCCAACCTAATTCACTCATTTTAAATAATCAAGACCTATAACAAGCAAACAGGCAACTCTAGTGACCCACCGAGAGCAGCTAGAGAACTAAAGAGGGTCATGGTGAGGCTAAGATCGAGATCACCACCGAGGAGACGTGTCCAGACATTTGAGGCACCGCCACCAGGACAGCAGCCACTGATGAAGAGGCCAAAGCCAAAAGCTGGATTGATAGGCGTCAACTTTGCCAGGGCTATGGCCACCTAGATAGTGGGAAGCCATGAAAACGATGTTATTCGCAGACTCAACCTGTCCAAAATCCACTAATATGACAGAAAATCCAGTTATCAATCTATCAGTTCATCGGAAATTAACACCTTTTAAGTTTCAGCGTTGCTAATTTGAACGTAATATAGTGAATAAATTGCAAAATAATATAACTCTGTTGAAAAGCCAAAATTTAATAAACTAGTACTGATCCCCACCTATTCTTTAAGCACTAAAGATGTGACGATGGAAAATTAGGCTCTAGTTCACAGCTAAAATAACAGCTTATGCATGGACTGCTGGCGCGTAGACACCAGCCAATCCAAGGAAGAACGCGCAAATTAATGGCCAATTCCACCTATTTATAAACCGATTAAAATTAAGATACTATAACACTGTTCGACAGCAATATAGCTAAAGCGTTATAGTTTTTTTATTAAAAAAAAAAAAACAAGAACAGCCCCGCATGTCAAGTCGATGAAAATGTAGAGATAGACATTCAGCAAAAGTGATAGACGATGAGGAATAGTAACTACCTCCGATTTCCCGAAAAAAAATCCATTATTAAAGCATAGGTCGCAAATGGACGACAAAGCCAACACTGAATCTCATGTCTGTCAGCCAGACAGCCAGAAGCATTAAAGATGATTTCTGGGAAAAATTTTCATATAAAGAGACAATAGCTTAAAAGAACAAATGCTAGTAAACCAAAAAAGATCAATATGGGTTACTTACGGCAGGCATAATGATAAACTGACAAAAAAATCCCAAAAGCGGTCCAATCGGTTTTTTTGCATAGGACTTGATAACATTAATATCGACCTCGCAACCCATAAAAAAGGTCGTCAGAATGAGGAGAATAATCAGACCGATTCGAAAGATCAAGTCAACAACTCCGCTTTCGCGAAGAACCAGCATTCGCACGCCCAGTGCCAAATGCGACCTGTCAGTGACGGTGACCCAGCCGACTATGTATGCATCACCGATTTGTGACACCACCAAGGGGAAGGTAACATTTTGGGTGGACTGATTTAGTGAGGAAGAAAAATTGAGGACGAGTGGAATGGCGAATCCGACAGAGACCGGGTAATCTGACGTAAAACTGAGGGAAATATCCTTATTGGAAGAATACGAAAGACCACATGCTAGACTATAGTTCCCCAAGTTTTCAAAAACCCGAAGCCTCTTGGGGTCACAGGAGACCGAAACAGTAAAGGAGCCAGCAGGGTCGGTGTAAGTGGAAATATAAGCAGTGTCATTTGCAGTAACGTGCTCTCTTAAAGTATTCCTAACATCCAAGTATTCCGTATCAAGTGGCAGGCCCCCGATCGTCTCTTTAGTAGAAACTACGTTTGCGAGTGTCAAGCAAAACAAAGCAGACACCCATATTAGTAGCGTCATGCGAAGGAGTTGTTAGACCCAGAATTATCTGTATCGTGCAGGCAGCATGGCTAAGCCACTATTATTTAGCCACATAAATTATAGAAAACCAATCAGAACACAACTTTTACAAATCCACCAATCAGAAGCAGAATAACCAGCCTTGAAAAGGCAACGTAATATGCACTAAGCAATACGATAAAACACCGCATTTTATGTCATTTGCTTGCAAATTTAACTAATTTTTGTGCATAAAACAGGGAAGTTAAATTATTGTATTTTTAACCGAACAACAGCCGCCTGACTCTGAGGAACTACTCCGTGATAGGAACACAGCTTGGCACCCCGCGCCTAACGTAG